CAATCTATTTATGTATATGGAGAGATTCATTCTATAGGTTCTGTTGCTCTAGAGAACCCTGACTGATACACTATCAAACTCCAGAATTCAAGAAGCTGCTCCTAAGTACTCATTTCTCTTCTGATGACAAATCTTGAGGTTTTTTTTTTTTTTTTTGGCAAGCCATCTTTTCCTCATGAGTGTGCTTCAAAGAGAGAAGGAATGTATGAGACAGGGCTGTATCATACTCATATTTCATATACAGTGATTTGCTCTGTAACTCAAACTGGGTTAATGAGATTCCACCTTTGGTTCATAAACTGGTCCTTTTTCTGGGTTTGCTAAATCTGAGGATGCTGGTGATCATGTTTGTTAATGTGTAGAAAGGATCTGCTGGGAATCAAGTATGGACAAATCAGAACTAAACTATGAAGGCTCATCTGCTGACCATGTCTGATCACTAGGAACCAGCTAGGTTTTGAGTCAGTGTATTCCCTTTATTGACCAAATCATCTCATGATGAGTCCTTAATGAAACATGGTCAAATCTGACTAAACACAGTAAGAGCTTCAAGGTTAGCCCTGCATGGAGAACAAGCAGAATTTCTACCAAGAAACACAACCGGAAACACTTATTTCCCAATATGATTCTTTATAAATATGAACTATATGATACCTGTCTGATGTTGTCATTGGATTAGGACCTATACTAGACCGATTTTCAGTTTCTTTCAAAACCATATCTGAAGCTGTGGTTATCTGTAAGCAACCACTGTTCCGTGAATACAACACCAGTGAAAATGTATTCAGGACCAAACACCAGTGAAGATGTATGCAGGACTAAAAAAGCAGAAATGCTGTTAACATTTGTACCCATGGCTATCAGTTTCTAAGAGTTTTTCCTTTGGGCATACATAATAAAACATAAACGATGTTTTATTTAACTTAAAAATTGGTCTTTAGTTACATATGAAGATTAAGGTAGGACCCATGTTGAAATGTCATAAAAGGTAAAGACAAAATTTAGCATAAGTATCAAAGTTGGGAAAGTTTTGAGTTCTGTTCCAAAGGTCCTTGCACTTAAGTATGAGTGTAATGAAAGGAGCCCTTGAATATTTCAGATGAAAACATGTCTAGACAATTATGAGGGCAACAGTACTCAGAAGAAAGGAGAGACAGAAGCCAGGGGAATCAGTGATTGGATGTCAGAACACACTCCAAAAATGGAATCATGTGAGAATGCTGAGTGCTTGTGAGAAAACTCCAAGAAAACGAGACAATAATCTGTGACCTCAGTTTCTTCAAAACACAGAACTGTTTTTGGAAAGTGTTTTCTTGCTCCTCCCAGGTGTAGCAGACAGGAGTGAGTTGACTTCAACTGTTGTTATTCATGTGCCTCTCTGGAAAAACATGGTTTTGCCATGTGCAGCTGGTCCTTGTGATTGAACACCTTATTCATGTGATTCTTCTCTGTCAGCTTGTAAATTGTCTGATGCTCTGAATAAAGTTGGCTATTGCATGAGACTTTGAGGCCCTGTCCTCTCACATGCATGCGGCCAGCTACAGCTGTAGACAATTTGACAACTGCAAGATTTAAGTTTGAGATTAGAAGGTGAGAGTAGGAGAGATGGAAAGAAAATGAATGGAGAAAGAATCCATGAAGGAGGAGAGGAGAGTGGGCCTGCCCAAAACACAAGTATCGAAAGGGAGAAGTGTCAACGTTAACTAACAACCGTAACAAGGAAAGACAAATTGGCTTAGGGACCTGCTCTGCTGGGGTGAGAAGTTGTAGGAAAGAGAGCGAGTTTAGTTTTGCTGTTTAACCTTCTGGAGCTTGAGTTGTTTATGTAAAATGGAAACTATGAATTGACCCCGATCTTGAAAACTGCCCTCCCCCATGCTCTACTTACAAAGATGAATGTGAAAATAATTTCAGGAACAATGATGTTTGTGCGTACACACACGCAATAACAATAATAAAGAAAAGAAGCCCTCAACTTGAGAGTGTGTGTGTGTGTGGGGGGGGCATGAGAAGAATGGGAGAGAGGGTAAAAGTGATGTAATTCTATTTCAAATAAAAACATATTAAAAAAAACAGTAATGTCATCCACATCCAAAGAAATAATGGGTCATTAAAATTGGGATATTTTAGGAAAGAAAATAACCACTCATTGAGACAACACTTGACGGGTGATCAAATGCATTGTTTTAGTAGCAAGAGACTTGAGCAGATATGGGTGAGTACATATGCCCTGAGCTATGTGAATCTGATAAACTTTATAGTCCATTTTAACTTTATGCTCATCAAATCAACCTTTTAAGTGTAATTTTGATCTCCCTATAGTTTCTACGCCAGAAGGAAATGCCTTATTATTAGGTCCGCTTATATTATCTGTCACTGGCTTGTGGCTCCTGAGTGTTCATGGTGTTAAGAAATCATCTTCTCAGTCTTGGGACAAAGACAAGATGTTTTTTTCTGTCTGTGAGGAGGAAGGACAGTCATTGCATGGTGGTTATATGCCAAGGTGTGGATTCCTGGAAAGACCGCCTGGTGAATAGATGGCTGACTTTCCTCTTGTATGTCCCCACTTTTCTACGAACTCTTCTCGAGTACACTGTGTAAGTTAGACCATAAGAGGCAACCAAGAATCCAGTGCTTTGTCAGTTGTTCTGCGGGATTCACAGCTGGAACTCCCTTCTACTTAAGGAACCCGGGGCATCACTCAAATTCTATATACTTCTTTTGACTTGAAGGTGTTGTGTGTGTGTGTGATCATAAAATTTGTCTTATAAAAGAAAATAAAACAGAGGACAAGAGAGTTAATGTCCTGCCCAGAAGCTTGCTTGCATTTGGACATACTTTTTCCCAGGCAATTTCATTTTTACTTTTTAACTGTATGCACTTAAAACACTCTCTTATATGCCTTCCACTTCCATTATTGATTAGAAGTAGCCATTTATGATAGAGAAGGGAAAGAAGTCATGAAAGTAGGTACAGTTTGTTAAAGTGTGCCCAACTCTGGAATTGGAATCAGTCACTCTATCATGATTGGTACAACAGTAAACTTACATCTTGACCTTAATCACCATTAAATTTAGTGTGCTATACTTCTGCACATAAATGTATTTTAGATCTGCATGACTCAAACCAGTAACATAGAATAGGAAGAAACTCTCAGCTGCCTGGAAAACTGAGCTGTATGCCCTAAGCAGACAGTATCTGGTTAAAAATGGTGGCCTCCCCTCAGTCCACACTGCCTTCTCCCGCTGTGTAGCCAATACACTCTTGATGTGACTGACCACAACTCTTGCTCTAGAGAAGGGCTCTCTCTGCTTAGCCTAAGGTAATTGTGGAGGTCACATCAATTCTTTGTGTGAATTGCCATAGCAACCAATTCAGTAATGAGCCTCTAAACTAGCAGGCCCTCACATTGCCTTGCTTAGGCTGCCTGTAGAGAAGTACATTGCCTGTGTTGCCTCTGGAGTCTGAGGCAATCAGCAAGTCACCCATGTACTGTAACAGACTGACATTTGGGTGGACATGTCTGCACTTCCCCAAGTCCTCACGGAGGGCTTCACTGAAGATAGAGGGGGAGTTCTTGAATCCTTGGGGAAGCCTTAGCCAGGTCAGTTGTCCATTGAACCTGTCATCTGATCCGAGCATTCCAAGGCAAGTGGTGCTGACTGGCTGGTGCCAAGGGCAAGCTGAAGAAGGCATCCTTGAGGTTTAGCACTGTATAGATGACCCGTTCAGGTGGCAGGGTGCTAAGAAGGGTGTATGGGTTGGGGACAGTGGGATAAATGTCCTCTACCTGCTTGTTTACTTCTCTGAGCTCCTGTACATGCCAATAGTCGGTGGAGTTGGGCTTTTTGACTGGCAGCAGGGGTGTATCCCAGGTGGACTGGCAGGGGACAAGGATGCCTACATCCCTCAGGTGTCTGATGTCGGGAGCAATCCCTTGCTTAGTGCCTCTGGGCATTGGGTATTGTCTGGTGTGGGCTGGTATAGCCTTGGCCTTCAGTTGTACCACCACAGGAGGCCGGTGTTTAGCCAGTCCTGACCCACCAATCTCTGCCCAGGCTTGGGGAATTTCCTGGAGTCATTGTAGCAAGCTCCTTGCCTCCCCATCAATAGGCTGTTAGCACATCAATGTCCAGGAGTTTCATGTGTGATCTAAAGCGTGGGACACCAGCCAGGCCTTCACTGGAGTCACAGGCAGAGGGCATAGAGTGCCAAGCAGAGGCTGTGCAGTAAGGTTGAGCATTTGCAGCAGTCAACATGAGCTGGAGAGACTGACAGAACAGAGTCCTGAAGAATGAAACTCTAGTGAGCGTATAGAGGAAGCACTGGAATTAGTGAAGGAGCCACTAGGGGGTCAGGGAGAGAGGCAGGATATTGCTGTGTCACTGTGCCTAGTGACAAAGTGTACCTGTGAAGAGTTGGCAATCTACGCTGTCACAGGATCCAGAGACGAGATGAGGTTAGAAATTTGGTGGCAACTGATGACTTGTGAAAAAGAACAGAAGCACAGTAAGGGGCCCGGATACTAAAAGATCCGTGACAAACATTGGATAAACACAGGTTCCTGAGACAGTGGCTCAGCAAAATAGGGGACCACGGTGATATATACAGAGTGTTTACAATACAAAATTCATTTGTTTGTTCTGTTTTTTCTGCTTCTGCTTCTATTTGCTCTATAGAAAAACAGCAACAACAACAACAACAATAATAATAATAATTGAATAATAATAAAATCCTGGACTAGGGATATGGCATACTGGAGAGAATTTGTGTAGCATATGTGAGATCCTGGGGTCAGTCCCCTGCCAGACACACACACACACACACACACACACACACACACGCACGCACGCACGCACGCGCACACACACACACACACACACACACACACACACACACACACTCCACATCTCTGGGGATCCCAAGTATTTTCTGT